TGTATTTAAATGTACTATTATACTTTTGATTTAATGAATACCCATGCAATCTTAATGTCAATGCAAAGCAGTCATCCTAGAAGGAGGGAAAGGAGTGACTGTGACTCCTCCCTACAGAGTAAGTCACTGTTCTTTTACATCTGTGTACATTTGGATTGATCACCTGTTAAATTGCAAAGGGATTTTGCACTTCGTTACAAGGTGGAACAAGGGTAAAAGTAACAGGCTAAAATATTGTGCATTGTACCCCAAAGAAATGGTATAAAACCCTGTGAAATGAATACCGAGTGAGAAACAGAAAAGGCTCTACTCGTCCTGAACTACTGCATCTCCTTCCACAATATCACGGGCATCGCTTCTCCCCTTCTGTACCAAGTGTTGTGGTGTGTAGCACTCAGTGACCCTTCCAGTCATCCATACCACCAGCTCTGAAGTGTGCTGAGGGTGAGGCCGCCAAATTGTGTTGAAACTCCAGTGAACTCCAAGGGCTGTGAGCATGCCTGGTGTGTGGGTTTTGGCTTGACTCTAAAGGAAACAGTCCTTGCAAGATCCTGAGAAGCACCCTCCAGGGACTAAGTAATCCAAGTATCTCTCCAAAAGAAATGCACAGTTATCTGTGTGGGCTGAAAAAAAAGGGAAAAAAATAAAATGAAAATTTCCCCCCCCCCCCTTTTTTTTTTTTGAAAATGTTGTCTAGTGTGACAAATTCCTGTAACTGAAAGGAAAGAAATCTCTCTCAGAGCAGCTTGGAAATCATCTATGACAAAGAAAAGAATATGCTCCGTAAATAGGGATGAGGATTTCTCTTCCACATCAGCACAGTCAACTGGTCCTAAACCTAAATCATTCCAACAAAGACCTAAAGCCTAGGGCCTGAAAGACAAGAAATAAATAAGAGCAAATATTTATGTGGGTTGGCAGATGGTGGTTTATTTGCCTGAATAATAAAATGTGATTTTGCCTGTTGATCCTTCTGAAGCATTGTTTTCCTGCATAGGATCTTTCACATGCCTCTGATTTCCCAGTTCTGAAGACCGGAGATTGCTCTCCCCTGTCTGCTTCCTCCTGCTGTTGCAGCAGCAGCTGTCTGTCCGTGCTCTGGCAGCCCCAAGAGGACACCTCGCTCAGAAGCTGACACTTAACGTGCTGTCGCTCAGTAACCCAGCAGCACGTGCTGGTTCCAACACTGCCATTGGCATGTGCTTAAACTTCTGAACTGAGATACTTTGATGTGATATTTTAAACAGAGACTTTTTTCCCCTTTTAACTGCAATTAATAAGGTCCAATCCATATGACAACTGCCACGTGAGCGATCTTACCTTGGGCACAATCTTTCAGAGAATTTAGAAAAACCCCACGTGAATAACACATGAAAGCGTGAAGCCCCTGGAAGAAACCAGACCTGTTCTGCACTGTGTTAATATCAGTTTACTTAAGCCTGAACTTCCTTTGTGCATTTTAAAAACTTCAAAAGGAAAAGGACATCTTCTATTTTGAATATAGATTGTTTGCCTCTTCCCAAGATACTGGTTATAGCTGCTGGAATCTCTGCCTTAATTACAACTCAAATGATGACAGGCTCAAATGATCTATTCAAAGACACCTCTGTCGAATATTTTTAAAGAGTTAACACATGAATTTTGTAACATGAAAAGCTACCTGCTGGTCTTGCAGATTTTTTTAAGCAGTATTTTAACAGACTCTCATCTGGTAACATGTTGAAGTCACAGTTTCCCATTAGAACAGAGAAGTCTCAGGTATTGTCATTCTGTGAGCCATTCCAGAAGTGAAAAACCAGTGCAGTTTACTACTGTTGTTATTGCCAGTTTCAGGCCATTTACCCTAACAGGTTGCATATTGAACTTTGATTAATGGAGCTTTTTAGCAGTCTCAAGTGGTACTCAAATGGATCTTAGAATTTTTTAAAGACTCTTGCTTATGAAACGTTAGTATTAGTGCTCTCTACAATAATTTGAATTCAACTAGACACTGAATTCATATTTACTTGCCCAGCTTCAAACTGTCAAGAACATAATCAGAGAAAGTGATTCTTGGCAGAATGTAGTAAAACAGAGGTTTGGCTGAGACTTGAAGCCAAACTGAGTGATACACACTTCTCCTGTCAATGCAGTGGGTTGGAAATTTGGCCTCTTAATTTTCTGTTTTGCATTTTTTTTAAAATGTTATTTAGTGTTTTTCATGACATTTTTTAGCATTAAAATCAGTAATTGCAGACCAAATACCAAAATACTGCTGGCGAATTCTGGTGCAAACCACCACACCATAAGTTAATGCCTCACCGTACGTATCTGTAGCAGAGGCAAAGGCTGTTGTCGTACCAAAGCTGTGCTTCTTTTGCAGGTTTGTGAATGCCCTGCACGGCTGCAGCACTGTGATGCGCAGCAGCAGGCCCTCCCATCTGCAGCAGGGACCAGGGAGCAAAGCCCAAAATGTTACATGCTTTCGACAAAAGGGTTGGAGCTACTACCTGGACACTCACATATGTACCAGGATGTCTTTGGATCACTGGGAATGCACTTCTTTCTTTCCTCCAATTTCTGTGCAACTCACAGTCTCCAATGGTAAAAGCAGGACCTCTATTTTTAAAAATCAAGTTAAATATTTAATTCAAATGAACTTTTTAGCAAGACAGCAAAGGTCACTCCTCAGATGTAAAGGGCCCTTCATTTTGCAAAAGGCAAAACTTAAAAAGAAAAAAACAGACCCTCCCACATGAATCAAATCAGAGAAAGACTTAAGTTAAAGTTTTTATTGCTGCGTGCTCCCCAATACAACAAACAGTATCAGTAGTGTACACTTTACAGAACGAGAAATTAGCTTGGTAGAAAAGAAATCAAAAAGGTACAAGGATTATTTACACCTACATTGTATATACGTAAAAGATCAAGACAGAGAGAAAAGAGAATTGGACTTTTGGGGAATTTTGAAGAAACAAACACACCCTATTTTTCTGTTTGAGGCTCAGGGATTGTCTGTACAACCTGTTTAATACTAATTTATTGGACCTTCAAAAGCCTTGCAGAAAGGTAGCAGCAGTTCTTTAGAGGTGTTGAGTCAATACTGTAGTGGGTTAGATTACACGCATCACAATGCAAGGTGCGTCTTGTGTAGCGTGACTCTGTACTTCCTCAAACAGGATTAACCTACCTACATTCTCATTTACTTTAAAAGTCTTCTGACAACAATTTTCATCCTTATTTCTTTCTAGTGATTCCGCATAATCACTAGAGATGTCTCTAGAATTTAATCTTTGGGGTTCTAATCTACTTTATAGCATTTTAGAGATACATCTTCGCTGTTCTTTTAAATGGGTTGATCATAAGGACTTTTTACAGGGGAGCAAAAATTGCACGTCAAACTTTAATAACCTATTTAGAAATTAAAGATGCCCGTAATTAAAAACTGTCATAAGACTTTTTTTTAAAGAATAAGATCAACAATTTCTCTACAGTAGTTTTAGTTAGCTTAAATTTCTGTTCTATCCATAGGACATAGCATGTACAGGTATCTAGTTACATCTCTGTATTTTATCTTGGCAAAAAGAATAGTCGACTGCGCTTAGTGTAAATATTTAGTACATAAAATACTATCAAGAAATCAACTTTTAATAAATATCTTTAGTTCTTAATCCTATATACAAGTACTTTACAGCAACACACAGGAGAGAGTGCGATTGGGTGAACTGTGAACAAGATGGTCATTGACATAAATTACTAGTATATTATTGCAGTCAGATGCATTGTGGGTGTGGAGATTTTGAGGTGAACCATGCTGAAAAATAAATATCTCTCTCACCTTTAAATCAATGCTTCCAGTACGAAAAAAAAAAAATCTATTTTAAGTCTTGCCACAGCTATTTCTTGTTAGCGCCTATTCTACCTCTGTGATGCTTTTTCAGCTTCAGAAATAACAAACAGATCATCTGGAAAACAGAACTCATTTTTGACTCGCGAACATTACAGTACTTACAGTATATACATGGTTTCCTACACTGGTCTGACCTCTTCGGCAAAAGGAGACGTAAGGGACGGCACTGCTACTCATCAACGGAAGCAGTGCCTGCTCAGCGTAGGCCGCGGGTGTCAGTCTTCATTTCACAGGCATGTGAAACTGTTTTTCCAACCTGTGACTGGAATTACACTAAAGTTTCTAAACCTACTTTTAATGGGCAGGTGGTTCTAAGTAGACTCATACCTTTAAGTTTATGCTTTTTTCTCCCTGTTTCAAAAAGAAAGCATCACATTGTTGATACTCTAGAAAACCCCTTTCCTAGTGTCAGTAGATGTAATTCATATGAAAATGGAACTCCTCCTTTTATGATAATGCTGCTTTAAAAATCAACTTTTGGACTGTAAATAAGGCAGTACTCAATGGCAGGCACCTAGCAATTGTCCAGAATGCAACATAGGTAAACAGTTGTCTGACTGCACAAAACTCTTAAAAATAATACTGATTTTCTGCAATATACAGTATTTACACAACAGCTGCAAATTTGCTTATACAATATCTGTTTATATAGATAAATTAGCAAAACAAGTCTTATTGAATCAGTTGTTCCATTGCAAAAGTATTTTGTATAGTGTAAACGTTTGGTACCTCTTGTAGTGGGGCATTTTCTACATGTGAGTGTTTAAAACCAAAAATAATGAGGTGACTGCTGAGGTCAGGGCCACTTTTCTGTACTACAGCTTGACTGATGCCCTCAGCAACTTTTGCTCACTATTAGGAATATTCTTTGGTGCTTTCCTTCAATACCTTCAAGCTAGCCAGATAACGGAGTATGGGAGGAGGACAGGAGTGACTAGAAAGTGAACCAGCACTTCTTGTTCTTTGTATTTACAAGGAAAATGAGTTGATGACCTGCAGTGTCCTGCTTGTGGAAAACAGTATGCACCATAGAGTCCAGAAGTAAGGAAATTAAACCCAAAGCGCCAGACAAAGCCTCTTTCTATGACTATCCTCCACAAGGCATTCACGTTCATGTTTCCACAGTGGAGGACCTCAAAGGCCATCTCTCTTCAACATGCTTCTCGCTCTTCCTTGAGGTTCTTGATGGAGAAGGAGCACCCATTGTGGTGTTATTAGCTGGCACCACAGGACCAGCTGCTGCCAATGCAAAGGCATTATGAGGACTGAGACTGCTGCCGTTGGCAGGTGACTGGTGCAGCAAAGCAAACAGCCTAGAAGTCTTCCTTGTCTGAGGAGCTCTCCATTGTGGAAATTCAGCACTTTTGGGCTTGGAATTGGACGGGGAGATGTGCGTATCTGTGTCCTCTTCTGCAAAAGAATGCCTGCCCAGAGAACTTCTCCGAGGCAGGAACTGTGCGTGGTTGGGCACTACAGGTGTTGGCATCATCAGAGCCCTAGGCAGATGGCTCTGATCAAACATTGCTTCCTCTTCAGTTTCAGCAGCTTCGGTAAGGAACGGCGGTGGGAGGGTGCTGCTGCGCTTGCTGCAGGACTCGCAGCACAGCTTGTTGTAGCCAGGGATGGAACAGTAACGTGCAAGCACTTCCATTTGACAGAAGATAGATTTGTCTCCCATACAGGGTTCATCTGCAAAACAAATGTAACATTAATTGTAAACGTAGAGAAGAATGCTGAAATGCCCTGACAGCATTTAGATGGGCACTGATAATGTTCTGCCTGTGTTTCATAAATGATGGGCTACTCTGAATAGGCAACCTGAGATGCTTCATCCCCTGACAGAACTCACTGCTACCCTAAAAAATAACCCTAGTTGGGAACCAAAGAAATCGGCGGACACTTTGAAATTGTCAGCTGCTGTGCACATCAGAAGCAAAGAGCTGTGGAAAGGCATGTTGTATTTGTGGAGGGCCACAGACAACAATTTCCAGTGTTAACCTACTAGAGCACCCACATACCAGGCCAGATGTAGTTCTACCCACCCAAAATCACCTTCACTTCTAGCCTGAGGCCATTATTAATCAACAGCATTCAAATCAATGAAATCTTCCTTTAAAGAAATTAAATCTCAAGCAATATCTCTCAAAGATGCATTTTACGTGATGTCTTAAAATAAAATGTTATAGTTGGATAAAGTTCTGTTTGGATAAAGTCCGAGATTTTCACTGACCTAACTGTAACTGGAGAACTGATGGGAAAGCTTTTAACAGATAGTTCTGACATAAGATGTCTTGCAGTTAAGTGCGTGACATTCAGTCAGGGAAAAGATCTCAAAGAGCTCAAAGATCTATTAGAGATCCCAAAAATGTCAATGAGCATTTGCTGGATGATTGTTCCACAAATAGAGATGCAGTGGTCACATTGGACAAAACTGGTAGAGTGGAAAGCGGTAATGCAAGAAGTCAGAAGAAAAACAAGGCTTTGACAGTGAGCTGAGAGCACATCAGTACTCGGGCTCCTTCAGACTGCCACATGAGCTCAAAGGTGAAGTCCTAAGTTTTCCTGTTACCGGGACTGGGACAAACGCTGAGAGTTTGTAACACTCATGAGTACGTGGCACTGTTGAGAATATCTGTTCTTAATCTTGCAGTCTGTTGTGCTGACTATATCGAGGTACAAGCTTGGTATTCTGTATGGGAATGTGAGTTTAAATTAAAACTTCACTCTCACAGAAAAAGTCAAATTCTGAGTTAGTATCTGAGCAGAGCTGTGTCAAGGCACAGAAGACGATGGGAGGTTGGCTCGGGTCATTTCAAATGAGTTGCACTACTTGCAGATTTCAAAATCAGGAAATTTAATATTTCCTTATTATTCTCCTCTCTGTGTCTAACTCATCCTACTGCTCATTTATACTGTTACTTATCTGTGTAGTTTGGAATATCATGTGCCTTGGCAGCATGAACACCCAACAGAGTAATGCAGGAAGGTGCCTCAGAAGGTCACCTTGTCCAGCCTTGCAGCAGGGTCAACACTTTTCAGAAAAGCATCTTGCTATTTTAAAGTTGACGCATCTGTAGGCAGAGGCGTAATCACCTTCTCACAGACATCTACAGGGACCATCAAAGCAGACCATGCGCTTCAATGTCGTGTTCCAGCCGAACCTGTGTCTCTCCCATGGAGGACTCAGCCCAGCAACTGGGACTCCTGAGAAACCTGGGGCATCTGCGTCTCCCCTCACACTCCTAAATCGGGTGCTAAGGCCCTGGCAGCACTCCAGAAGCAGACCAGGAACCTACAAATATGTAACACTTCAAGGGACATAAAACCAGCAATGGGGAGAAATGAGTAGCTTGGTGCATCCAGTAACTATTCAGACACTTTGGGGAGAGATCAGCAAAAAGTTTCTATTAGCAGAATTTTCCTAAGATACTATGGCTGGCTTGAAATGGTATTGACAGATTTTACGTAAAATAGAAGTGTGCAAAATTAGAATGTGAAAAGCCAAAAGTTAACCCCAGCTATTGAGAAGATCTGTTCCATGTCTAGTCCTCCATTCATAGTTAGCAATTATATAGTCAACATTTTAATGAGCAACAGATGGCATGTAACACCACTTACTAAGCTCTGAAATTATATTAGCTTTACATACAGTGATATTTTTCACCTGTGTACAGGTTCTGCCTCACCACATGTCAACAGTATATCAGGCAACCAAGTTTTCCTATTTTAAAATATTAACTGTAGCCCAACCTCTCGATCAGCGTAAATCAGCTTAATTCTACTGAACTCAGTAAAATTACACACATGCACATCAGTGGGGTTGTGGGATGTTGTTCATAAATAGCAAATTATATGACTGCAGCATGTAATATAAAAATTTTCCTTGATTCTACTCCTGATGTGCTTCCTTGGATAGATGTTTGCTGGTTCTTCACAAACCTAGCATTAAATCTGTAGCTTTGCATGGGAATGTACATACT